AGCCGTGCGGTACGCCATTTGATTGCAAAGAGGAGATCGATTGAGATGGGTTAGTGGGCGAGCACCAGGTGGTGAGACCCCTCAATGCACTTTGGCACGCCACGCCAAGAGCACGAATTACACACATGGCCAGCGAAGTCGCAGATCCCTATGAACTATTAGGCATCTCGTCAGATGCCAGGATAGAAGACATTAACAAGGCCTTTCGTCAAAGATCGCTCAAAGTTCATCCAGATAGGAACCCAGATAACCCTGAAGCCGGTATGTTCCCTCTTCTCGTAACGTTTTTCCCCCTTGCGACCATGTCGTATGCCACTGGGGGTATTTTTTTTACGATTACTTATGTAAACGGCTTGATTGACAGCGGCGAAATTTCACGAGCTCAAACAAGCGCAAGAACTATTGCTTGACCCTCAACGACGTGCCGAAGTTGATGCTTCCCTCAAAAAACAGCGTGCTCGTGCCGAACAACTCGCCAAAGCTGGCGTGAGCCGAAAAAGGATGATGGACGCGCTGGCTGAAGCGGAACGCGCGCATAAAAAAGCGCGAACGGAGACGGCTGCTGATGCGAGGAAGCGAGAAGAAAAAGAGACGCAGCTCAAAGATGCTGGACGACGTATGAGAGAGGAAAAAGAAAAGGAGATTGCTAGAGTGGAGGAGGAGCGCGTCAATGCCACGAAGGCAAGGCAGGAAGAGGAAAACGCGTCAAGTGAGTGACGGGTACTACCCTTTCGGCATTCAAAGACTGATACCTTCATTTAGCACTCACAGGGTTAGGGGACACACCCGTGGTTCTCAAGTACCAACTCTCGGATCGTCCCGACCTCATGACCAAAGAGGCCCTGTTGGCTGTGCTCAAACCTTTTGGATCCATTGACGAATCGACCGTCCTCCTAACGTTAAAGCCGAAAAAACTCAAGCCGGGAGCCACCCCAAAGTCAGCCACTGCTGTCATCACCTTTCATAAGGTACAAGACGCGTTCGGCGCCGTCGTGTCTAGTGGACAAGCTACACGTGGTCTCCAAGGAGTAGAAGTCGCTTGGCCGACGGGAGAAGAGCCCGAATCGATCAAGATGTTGAGGGAGAAGGGCTTGTTAGAGACTAGCACGAAAAACATCCCGACGGGATCGAGCAAACCTCCACCATCGGAACCGGCCGTGAGTTCTATTCGCTTCCTAGTCTTTTCTCGATTTGGTAACTTATTCCTTTTTAGGTGGAAGCTTCTAGTGCTCCCAAGCCAAAGGCGGCCTCGAGTGGTGCCGACTTTGAGGCCATTACGTTGATGCGATTACGACAAGCGGACGCCAATCGTCGTGCAAAACAAGAAGCCGCGAAACAAGAGGCGAAAAAGGATGAGGAAATGCAAACATAACAGCCGCCAACGGATCCTATCTATTGTATAAAGAAGAGGCAGTCATGCCGAGGTGAGATCACGTAAAATCATATAGTATAATGTCTTATCATTACACCTACTCAGTCGGATTTTAACTCGACATTCCCCGCGAGACCGAGGTCAGCACTCGCTCCAACGTCAATGAAGAATCATCTCTACAGCGGAATATCTTGGTTTAAAATATGAAACTTGAGTAAAGGACTGACGTTCTTACACCCAACTTTGCTTGGGACCTGACACGAGCACGGC